AGGTCTATGCCAATCCCAGACAGAAAGGCATTCCTACCTCTTGGCCCAGCAAATATTTACAGTATTTTACAAGAAGTGAAAGAGATTTAAGTGGACACAAAAAGCTCAACCTCTGAATAACACATAGTTTGGTGATGAGAACACTCCCCAAGAAGGTGAGAGATGCAAGGCCAGAAACCCTGGGGGATGGAACTGATCTCCTGCATCCTAGCCAAGATCTCCAGTCACTGGGTAAAACTAAAGGAACCATTAACTTTTATTACCACAGTATCCTGAAAAGGTTAAATGCAGAACTGACAGAAATCTTAATTAAAATAGGTGACAGAAATCAAAATTAAAACAGGTACTGCACACCAGCACCGAGAGAATATTGATTCCTGTTCTTCACTTGAATTTTTTTCTTAAAGAGTTATCAATATATCAGTAAATACAGCCTTACAATTAGCAAACTGACAGGAGGATTTTTTTTCCTTGTGCTAATCAGTCACTACACACATGTACATTCAAGTTACTGTAAACTTCTACTTATCCCATGCTCTTTGCTTTATTTGTCTTTCAGCCCAGTGCTGTAGACAGTGCCCCATCTACATGATACACAGCCTGAGATAGCAAAAGCTCCAGGGAGGGTAACAAACAAGTGAAGTGAGACTAGTCCTGAAAGACAAACATATGAACTCTAAACCTGATATTCTCAAATTTACTGAGGTTTAAGTCACTTTTCTCATGCTATATACTCACGCACATTCATACAATGACATCCTTGTTCTCAGGAGGCTCCTAACAATCCTTAAAATGGAATGTGGCTGGTAATTTCAGTTCCTGAAAAATGCAAGATTAAGAGCCAAACTCCACATTTCATGACAGATTTTTGACAGCAGCACAACAGAATTTAATCTATGTGCTTTGCAATCTGTTGCCTATCAAGTGCAGTATTTTAAAAATTCAGGTGAATTGTTTTCTGTTGTAACCTGCCTCCAATACCCAAAACACCTTAATTAGTCAGTTAAGGTCTCCCAACCTAAACTGAGCAAACAAGTAAAAAAATCTTGAATGCAAAAAATTATTTTACTAGTACTTGACAAGTTCTGTCAATAAGCTGCAACTCCTCTTACTCTCTGCCCTCCCACATACACATCTAATCCAGCCAACTAAGACTTGAAAGCACCACCTGAGTCTTCTGGAAGAAACTGCATTTTAATTCATGGCAGCAGCATGTTAAATGCTTAATTGCAATCAAAGCAAATTCTCAGGCCTCTGAATCTAGAAAGACTTCTAACACCAACCAATTTGAATTTCCCAGGAGCAAAGACAGCACTGTACATTTACACTTATTCCAAAACCCAGTAGTTTTATTGATTACTCTGACACATCATTAGATTTAATTTCCACACCCTTTGCATTATGAAGGGAAGCTTCTAAATATATCACCATTTCACTCATGAAACATTTGATGGCTAATACAAGAATCATCCCACTGATTATAACATTTAAGAGGGAGTTCAGTTGTTTTTAAGATTAGTGACTCAATACAGCGCCTTCTTTTTTTGTTCTTAGCTTGCCCTCCCAGTCTGTCTCCTAAGCACCACCCTGAGAGGGCACGCACGCATGGCAATCCTTATTACCCTTATACAACACTCCTGAAAGGAAATATTAAAAATACATTTGATTTTGGTGTAGAAATCCCCTTCTTTGCTCTTCACCAATGAAGGAAGCTGTGAAAATCTTTTGTGCATTCAAAGGGCGAAAAAAGAACAAAGCAATCTCTATTGCCAGACTGGGCAGCAGTAAAAAGGGAGGGGGTGTTACATCAGGCCTTGAAAAACACTAAACACCTACTAACTGAAGATAAACAAGATAGGAATGGTGCTGTGCCTTCTCAATAGGCTCCAGCACAAAAAAAAATCACCACAAAATGCTAGAAATTAAGGACAAACCAAGTATTTCAGAAAGCAATGATCTAGGTCCTGCTGCTTCCATACTCATCTGCTGTCATACTTGCAACAGTTTGGTGCCTGAAGATACATTTCTTGGTATTTACTAATCTCTTACACACACACACATATATATATATATATATATATATGTATATATATATATACTGCTGTGCCCATGCTTATTCCCTCCTCTGCTGTAGCAGAAACTTTTGTCACGACCCTGTTCCATTTCCTCGCTGGAGCACAGACAGGAAGCAAGGGGAAAATGGGTATTCAACAACCTCTTTCCTCTCCCATTCTATTCCACTTGCAGCAAACTAATTTTAGCTCTTATTTAATCTATAAAATCATGAGCAACCTTGCCATGCAGCAGTATTGTACACAGCTCTCCTTTCCTTCTATCATTACAGGAACTTGACAAAAGAAAGTTTCTCTACTCACTGCTGACAAGCATTTGATTCAAACACCTTTTCTTTTGAAAAAGTCCATATTCTTTGAAAGAGTATTTCCATCTGGGACTTATCCCACATTTCAGATTAAAATTAGTTTTTCCAGGATGACAGTATTCTTTTTCACCAGCAAAATTCTCAGCAGAGCCTCCTTTTCTCAATAGGCTCCAGCACAAAAAAAAAAATCACCACAAAATGCTAGAAATTAAGGACAAACCAAGTATTTCAGAAAGCAATGATCTAGGTCCTGCTGCTTCCATACTCATCTGCTGTCATACTTGCAACAGCTTGGTGCCTGAAGATACATTTATTGGTAAGAGCCTCCTTTCAGGATAAGACACCTCTATCTGAAATACTGGCTCAGCAAGATGACTTAAGACACTAAAAAAGAGTTAAATACAAGTATATATGGTTATAGGTGTGGGCACTACTGAAAAAAAACGAAGCTGTCAGAAGAAATACCTTACAGGAACAGTGTCAAAAGATAACTCACGTATTTAAAACTATGAAAGAGATGGGGAAAAAGCCAAGTCTCTCCTTCTTATAGTATCTTAATAAAAGAAAGTAATTGCATTCAGTTCACTTGGAATTTAAAATAAATACATAAACCTACCTTAAAATCTCAGATTTATATTTACAAACCAATAAATAAAGCAGTATGAGAATTAGTTCTCATCTCTTGAAAACGACATCATTAACAAGACTGTCACTCACTGAAACAAGCCCTATTTTTCATGTTTGCCAATGTCCACTAATCACAGCTGGCAAGTACCTTCTTTCAAAGTATTTTTAACACAACTGAGACTTTTTTTCTCAAAAAAGCAAACCCACAATAAGCTTTTATCATACCTTATGAAGCTACAGTGGTTCAACAACACATGCAGACAGGGACAAAAAGATGGAACCAAGCCTTTTGCACCTGGACAAAAGGGAAGCGCTACTGCACTGGGAACCAATTTACATCCATGCAGAGACAGGGGTGTGAAAGGGTTTTTCCTAATGCCAGATTATGCATTTTCAGATGTGAAATAAGGTATGTGTACAGCAGCTGGACACTGCACCACACAACACACCTGTTCTTGGAAAGCTGCCTTTGCAACACAGAGAAAGGCCCAGGTCTGGCAAATGGACAGGATGGGATCAGCCAGCTTCCAAACAGAGCTCCTGCACCAGCTCCTGGGCACAGCTCTGCTGCACATGAGCACCAGCCTCCCCAGGTGACAAAATGCATTCTTCTAAAAGTGCTAAAGCACTGGCCAATTCTGAGCTGCATCACCACAACTGTAAGTAAACCAGGGCAAGACTGTTGTTAGAAGTGTAAGTAATGAAATACCCACAGAGAAGAGAGCATGACTGAAAATGGATTTTTGCTCTGTCCACTGCTCCCATAGCTCCCAGGCAAGGCTGAGTACAGGTAAAAATGCAAAGTGACAGAAACCTCAGGTCCATGAGGACACCACAGAGAATACAGACCTAAAATTATAGGGTTTTAAGACACATCATGCCCTCATTCTGCTACAACCTCAGAACTGTAAGAAAGAACTTCCATTCTTCAGATCCACCTAGCACAGTGAACACCTTAAATCACAATTTCATTCCCCTAAAATATGCAAGCTACAAAAAAGCAAATCCTTCCCTCAGCCTGTTAAAAATCCTCCCTTTAGACTATTACTATGGCAAAAACACTCATTCAAAAAAGCAAATGAGTTAAGATTAAAATAATGTAAAACTGACATTTTGTTTAATGTACTTTACAGAAAGCTGACAAATCCAAGAGTTTATGAATTTATCAATTCATTCTGCAATTAAAACACACTAAGATACATTTAACTGAACTACATTAAACTGCCTAAATCTGTACCAATATTCATTTACTGTGTCAATATGTAAATGACCTTTTAAGTCAAAAGAGTTGTCTTTTCACTGCTATTTTAAAGCAGACCAGACCACTGCCTGAACTGAGCTTGTGAAACAAAATAAGAATATCTGAAAAGCAGAAGACCAATACAAATGTTGGTTCTTGTCAGAGAAGAGACAGGAGAGGGAAGAAGGGGCTGCCAAAGTCTCAACATGTGGCAGAACAGAAATCCCCACTGGGTTCCAAGTTTTGAAAAGTAATGGGACCATTCAGAACAGGGATATTTGTTTCATGTTCAAGCCCTTCTTCACATTCAGCACACACCAAGGTCAAAATCTGAGATTTAACTCATTTTTTAATAAGGGACTTATTTCAAAACAAGTTACTTTTTTCAAGAAATCTAAGAAACTACTCTGGATGACATCACTGGATTTAAAATGCAGTGAGAATATCACAATAAACTGCTGCAGTGGTCAGGTCAATAGAGATGATGTGCAGGTAAATTATTTGAGGTATTTTGGCTGTGATCCACAACAGAACAAAACCCCCAAATTTATAGGAAGAAACTGCACCTCGTCTCTTTTATCCACTGCCAGCTAGGCCCGAGACAGTGTCAGGACACAGAAAAAAATGCCCTCTCATTTGCTATACTTCATGTCTTTCCACAGGAACTGGTCTCTTCCTCGTTGTCCTATTTCCTGTACACAGACCAAGCCTATTGTCGCTAGGTGAAAACACACACACATGCCACCGACTTACCAGCCTGCGCTGGCATAAATCTCCCTTTAGGCAGAGGTGACCTGCAGCCTCACAGCCGTGAACGAGCTCCTGTCCCTCTCCAGGCCCCGCGGATCGCAGCGCCGGCCGTGCAGAGATCAGCCCCCACGGAGCCCTCCGGGACAGGGGTGACAGCCACGCCAGTGCTGCCGGCGATCCCCTCCCGCTGCCCGGCTGCCGCCGGGGGGATCCGCACAGCCCGGCCGCCCCGTCCCTCCTCCTTTCCCCCTAATCCCTCCTCCTCAGCCGCGCCGAACCCTCAGCCCGCAGCCCCTCCACCAGCGTGCTCCTCCGTGCCCCGGCCCCCGCCGCAGCCCCCACCGCCGGTCCCCCCCCGCCCGGGACACCGTCCCCGCGTAGGGCCGTGCTCGGCCCGGCCGGGTCGGACCCCCCCGCGGCCTCGGCCCCGCGGCTCACCAGGAGTAGGTCTGCTCCGCCATGGCTGCGGCTGGGCGGCCGGCGCTGGGCTCTGCGGGGCGGCCGGGCCCGGGCTCCTCCTCCGCCTCCTCCTCCGCCTCCTGCTCGCAGGCTCCGGGGCTCAGTGGCGGCCCCGCTGCGGCTCCCGGCCCAACATGGCGGCGGCTGTGAGGAGGGAGGGGAGCCGAGGGGGGGTCCCCGCGCGGGCGGGAAGGGCGATGGTGGCGGCGGGGCGGGCGGAGGCTCAGCAGCCGCGACGCGAGCCGCGCCGAGGGGCGGAGGCCGAGCGGCGCGCGGGGTCACGTGCCCACAACACCTTCACGTGCCGCCGCCGCCGGCCGCGCGCAGGCGCTGTGGGGCGCGGGGAGGCGGCGGGCGGTGCTGGTTGTCGGGCCCGGCCGCGCTGCAGCCTCGCCGCTCGGGGGCCTGGACGGAGCTCTTTCCTCCGGCACGAAAGCAGCGCCAGCTGCGGGTGCATTTTGGGGCTGGGGGCTTCCGGCGAACCGCGGCTCCCGAGGTGAATCCCGAGCCGGCGATTCCTTTCCCGCAGCTCCCCCGGGCCTGCAGGGTGCCGGGGCACGGCGAGCGCGGCTGGCGGAGAGGGGCCCCGGGGCGCTCGGGGGCTGCTCCCGCTGCCCGCAGGAGCCCCGGCCTGCCCAGGAGCTCGCTGTGGCGCGGGGACCCTCTGGGCGCGGGCCGGGCGGTAAAGGCGCCGTTCAGGTAAAATAATTCCTGAGTGCGGTGTTAGTTCGTCAGATGCACAGGTGTTTATAGAGATTGCTCTGTTCTTGAATCTTTGAAACCAAGTAACGTCAATAGGATCAAATGCTCCAAATGTTTGGGGGTTTTTTAGGGAAGGAAAATAACATTCCAGACACTTTGACCAAATAAAAATCATGCGCTTCATTTTATCAGCAGCCTGCTATTAAACCTGCGCGAGTCTCAGGCAGAGAAACCACTGCGTTGATATTGGTGTGCTTTCTGCCAAGCCCTCAGCCCTTCGTTGTGTTTCTGCCAAATGCAGAACCAGTGCTTTTTGCTCGCCTTGCTCACGTGAGTAATCCTTACCTCCTGGGAGTTCACTTGCAGCAATTTAGTGCAAGTGGGGCTTTGCAGAGCTTGGATCAATTGTTCCAGGCCGGCTGTGCATTCCCGCTCATTGTCCCTTGCAGTGTGGGAGGGAGAACAGCCAGTTTGAATGTACAGCTAGAGGTGACGTAACTGCATCAAATATAAATAGAAGAACAAATGCCAGGAGCTGGTAAAAATAGGTATTTGTTTTAAAAACAAGTATGAAGAAATTCTGTGCCTTGATAGAATTTTGTTAAAATCTTCCAGAAAATAACGGGACATTGGGACATTCTCATTGCATCTACAGGGATGCCAGATGCCTCTGAAATTTGGAGCCCACTTTAGTTTGTTCCTATCAGTGGATTGAATAAAACATTTTCATGTTGTCCATCTCATTTATTCTCTTAAATGGAAAAACCTTAGGCTGGTGTGTGGTCATGACAGAGGATTAAAGTAAGGAATGTCTCTGTTCATCTTTGTGGTGTCACCAGTTGCTGTGTGATCCTGGGCAGATCGCTTCATCGCTGCTAGCTCTGCTCATCAGTCATTACAGAGGAAACTGCAAAGTGTTGCAGCCACCTGACGTTTTGGGGAGCTGCAGCAGGAAGATGCTGCACATGCAACACAGGTTTATTTGGTCTTGCTGGAGAGAATGCCTGGGACTCCTGTGCTCCAGTTAAACAAGGCTTTTATTAAGACGGTGCTGGACTCTGAGGGTTTCTCCCCCTGTAGCTTCATGCTTTCAAAACAAGTGATACAGGTTGTGTCACTTCAGCATCCAAATCCTCAGTGTTTTTGCCAGCCCTTTGGCCTTGTGGACAGGAATGACCTTAGAGCTCCCGACCTAATCAGCACTTCAGCCACTTACTAAATGTAGTTGAGAATCGGATTTATCAGCCAGGAGGTGGAAACACTCCGGGGACCGTGCCTGGCTGGGTCACAGGATCCCTGCTGGGGTCATTCCTGGCAGCTGGGGGTGCTGGAAGGATCAGAGGGTGAGGAATGCTAAACTTTCCTCCCATCCAGTTCAGGCTGGACTAGCTGGAGAAACTCCCTGCCCTGTTTGCTCTCTGCCCTCGGCGTGCACAGTCCCTGTGCCCATCCCGGCGGATCGGGGAGCTTTGGTGGGCATGGGAGGACAAGGGAGGAGTCGTGCTCAGAGCTGGGGTGCACAGCCCACTCTGTGAGCTTGGGGGGAAACTGCTGTTCCCACATACACATATCCCGTGTCCAAAAAACAAAAATCTCAGGCTTTGGGTAGGATTTGCACAATGGATAAGTTCCCTGCTTTTGTTCTCCTCAGCACAGCAGAAAGACCTGCAGAAATGCTTAGATAATAAATAAATAATTTTGAATCCTCACTCTACTGTGGTGCAAACCTGAATGCCTGGAATGCCTGTTGGTGCTACCCTTTTCACTAATTATAACAGAGTAAATGTAAGAAGAAAAAAGAACCTCTCAGTCCTTTTAAATCAATGCAGGGCAAGATAAATCAGCCTTCAGCCTTGTCTTGATTCTAAGAGCCTTTCCTAATTTTCTTTTTGCTGAGAAGAAGGATGTAAAACTGATATTGATATCTATGAAACAATATCCCTGCTTTCTGTTCATATTGAAATAGCTTCCAGTTTCTCAGTCTTGCAAAATTTCCAGCACATTAATTTGGCACAAATGATTTATAGCTGATGAGCAATTAAAGTATAATTTCTTTCCAGCATCTCAGGCTTTGTGACTAGACTATTAAATGATTTTGCAAGCTTGCTCTATCATTACAGGATAGCAGTGGGATGAATTCACAGGAGAAATTTATTCCTCCCTGCAGACCCAGCATCTACTCTCAACTGCAAACTGGAGCACTGCTTGCATTCCTCAGATAATTTTCTCAGTGTATCTTTTGTACAGTCTCTCTTTGGACCTACAAGAGAGCTTTAGTCTGAATTTCAGTGACAGTTTACTCTGACATTACAAAGTCCTCCCAAAGTACCTGTTCTGCCTGGAGCCTTTGATGTAGACTGATGCTTTACTTAGACCTGTCAAGGTATTTCAGAACCAGCAGCAAACAAAACCATTTTAAAAATTATTTTTATCTTTGGAAGGCCATCTCCCAGAGGCAAGCATGGTAGAGAAAAATGAGATGAAAGTACTGGCTACAAAGAGTCCTCACCTCCAAGTTCTTTAAATGTCAGCAGATGACATTTAGCTAACCATGTCTTGATTCTGCTGTAAGGGAGGTGGAAAGAACCAGAGGAGCTTCATGTAGACACTTCACCTTTCAGGAAAGGACATGACAGGTAGAGTTGTCAACCCAGCTTTGTTCAGGAAGGAACAAATAGCATGGACAGGAGCAGAAAAGGAAGGAAAAAACCCAAAAATCAAGAGATCCACTTCTGACTGTACATCTGGGAGCTACATTAGGCTATTTGCTTGTAAGATCCTTGTGGGATTCCCCTTTACAAAGCTAATTACAATGTGCAGTGGCCATGTGTGACACGATTCTCTTCACTACCACCTAGTGGGAAACTCCTTCATAACCCAAGTCCAGAGCTGCTCCTGATCTCCACCCTCAGCCTGGCGGTAGAAACTGGGAATAAATGGAGGGAGAAAATGACAGAAGACTGGGAAGGAGGACACAGTCCTCACATACAGGTAGAGGAATGTGTAGAGAAAGTTTGTAATTTAAACCCATTTGCCCCATGGATTTACCACACCACAACTCCAAGCTCTGCATCCAGCCCAGCCCACTGATGAACAAACCCAGCTTCCTTCTCAGTAAAATCACATTTTCCAATTATACTCACATATTTACACCAAAGACTACTACATTAGAACCTAAATGGGTATATATTGGAAACATTAAAACATGTATTCAAGCAAGTCCTTCCCCACTGAGATACTCGGGGTTTGCACAAATAGCTGAAATCCAACTCTGGAAAACAATGTATAAATGACAATTACCTCAGTTTTTTCACTCTCCTTCACTGTGTGCCTTTTGGGACTAAGCTCCCAATGCACAAATAATAATCAGTTTTGGTACTCATGTAGCTTTTTTCCCCCCAATAACAGAAAGAAGGGTGACAATTATCATAATAGCTCTCACATTTCAAGGAGGGGATTATGTTAATGTCATTCAGGCCAGTAAAGCATTTATCAGTCGCAGCAGGAAGAACAGTAAAATGGTAAAGAATTATTAAAAGAATCATTTCTTTGTGTTTTATTTGCCAATGGCAATTTTACCACCCTATTCAGGGAATTATATGGGCTCCCTCTAGTAGCACTTTTATCATAAATATATTTAGGCTTTTTTTCCTTCTCTGTATGCTCCTTGAATCCACATTACACTGGCTTTGTACCAGCAAATGACTGTGTTTTTCATCATGTACACTTCATAATAGATATAATTCAGTGCATTAAAACATCAGAGGTAAAAATGGTGTTGATACAGGAGTGAGGGTTTGGGAGTCTATGCTGCCTTCCACGAGGTTCACAGGACTCTGCTGTCCCTTACTGTGGGTTTGCCCTAGTGCAATAAGCAGAATACAGACCAGTACATGCAAAATCAGAATAATGTTCCTATTGTGTACCCATTCATACTTTCATGCAGTGCTTTCAGTGTTCAGTAATTCACTCACTTTATTAGATACAGGGAAGAAGAGATTACTTCAGAACAGTTAATACAAAACCAAATACTGCAAACATGAGAAAAACAAGCAGGTATCTCTTGGTGGCTTCAAACTTTAAGTTTCCCCTGTTACAATGACCAAGATCATATTAATCATAATCAGAGTGACTTGAGAATCAAGTCATGGCCTGGGAAATGGTTACAATTAAGGAAATCAACATAGAGTAAGAACTGGTAATAGATAAAAATGGTATAGGAAACACAAGTCTCCTTATTTCCAATATTCATCCTCAAGGAACAA